CAGGAAAGTTAATAGGAAAAAATCGTTAAGATGTAGATTGGCAGAAAGTTCGGGTTTCAGCAGAATTGGGTGGCGGTCGACCGGCCCGGTCGACCGCATTCGTGCACAGGAGTTATTGGGCTTCAGGATTGGTGGCGGTCGACCGATCCGGTCGACCGAATCTATGGGCGGTCGACCGTGTCGGTCGACCGACGACCTCTCTGGACATTGGGTTTGCTGCTGGATGGAGGGCAGTCGACCGGTCCGGTCGACCGCGATGGATCGCGGTCGACCGTACCGGTCGACCGCCGCTGCGGTTTTGAGTTGGGCCTGTTTTCAGACCCGCTTCGTTTTGGATTTGTATAAATACCCATTGGGTGTTTTTTAGGGTTAAGAGCAAGGACGAATTTGAGCAGATTGAGAGAGTTTTCTTTGGGCTTCTATTCTAGGAGCAATTGGAGAGATTGAGAGTTGATTGTTGAGGGTTTATGAGAGATTTGTAACCCTAGTTTGTTCTTCTTGATTTCTAATAGTGAAAAACTCCCCCCTCCTTGCCCCGTGGACGTAGGCATCTTGCCGAACCACGTAAAACTGGTGTTTGGTTGTTTGTGCTGTTGATTTTGATTGGTTGTTTATCTTTCTTGGCGATTGTTTTGGTTTCTCGAGGCACAACATAAGATTGCACTTTATATTTTCTGAATAAGTCACAAAAGATAAACTAATGCATGGAAATAAACTCATTTGGACCCTTCATACTTTCTAACTTTTTAGTGGGGTTATTATTTACGACTTATCACCTCATTTTATTGAATAATACATTATGATAATTAAAATTGAAATTCATATACGACAATATTCTCAAATAGTTATGAGGAATGAAGTATGTATTTTATCAGAATATCCGCCTAATAAAGTATTTTGGGTCATTCATGAGAACCTAAGGATAATTTGTGAATTTAACCAAATTATCATATTGATATTTTTTGTACACCCCTCCTACTAGTTCGATATTTTTCTAGTTCCGTCGATGTTTCGGTAATTTTTCTGAACCCAATATGCAATTAGATTCAAAACTTCGCTATGGGAAAAAAAGGTGCAAAACCTCTTTGCTCCTACGAGTGTCAGGTTTCTCAAGCTTTCTCTTCACTATATTTAGAGCTAATACTACCCTTTCCGACATTCTTGCAAAAATTTTGAGCATAATTATTAGCCATATACTAATGTGCTACATTATTTTTAGCATCATGAGGTTTCGTGGATTTTTTTTGTCAGCGGCGAAAATTTGAGTTTAATGGCACATTTACCTAAAAAAATATCAAAACATCATCAAAGCTTAAAAAAATACCTAACTCATAGGAGAGATGTAAAAAAGTGCCAATAAGTTAATTTAGTCGTTTTATTTATCATACTCTCTTTAAAAGTACGAATTCGGAAAAATCTTTCGGTAGATAAAAATACCATCGGAATTTAAATTATTCCATCAAGTAAGAGTAAGTTGATAAATTGATGGATTCTTATTGGATATACATAGTATAAAGATAAGGATACAATTTAAATTGAATGTAAATCTAAATAAAATTATTAAATGTCAAATTTACAAATGTCTACACAATAAAGGGCATATATGCAAAAACCAAATATATTAATGATACAAATAATGTCTACCCCAAAGGTCAAACCCAGGAATAACGTAGACCTACAAATATACATAACGTGGATGCAAAAACCAAATATATTAATGATACAAATAATGTCTACCCCAAAGGTCAAACCCAGGAATAACGTAAACCTACAAATATACATAACGTGGATGAGATATTTATAAAATTCACCAAACAAATTAAAGAGGTAAAAGTCATTCTCAAAATTATAAAAAAAATTAAGGAAAACAAAAATAATACTCCCTTTAAAAGCACGAGCTCGGGAAAACTTTCCATAGTCAAAATTACCATGTACTATTTTAAATATTTAATTTAAATTATAATCTATCATAATCATACTTATATCCTATCCTAAGACCCAATGAACTATCTACAACTCAACAATATAAATAAGATTAATAAAATATATAAAACATCTCCGTAGTATCAATTTATTACATGAAATATTATAAAAAAAGGGCAAAAGTTTTAAAAATTAGACAAAATACTCTCAAAAGTTTAAAATTACACAAAATAAAAAGCTAAAAATTTAGAACTTGACAAATAAAAGAGTAATTGTGTGATATTCTTTCATTAAAATATATAAATATAACTTATAATTTAAGGTTTACTATCCCTTTTCAGAATCTGAAAATAGTCAAGTTGATATTGGTAAAAAATACTAATAATAACAGATTAAAATTATCCAGTTAAAAAATTAAAATTAAAATATATATATATATGATTGATTAAAAATTAAAGTTATTGTATAAATTAAAGTAACTACATATAATTTTACCAATATGTTAGAGCAGTAAAAATACATAAGTGTCATTAATTGATAGAAGACTAAATCGTAAAAAACTAATAAAAGACTATAATATAATAGCTTAACATTAATTGATTATAATTTATAAATATTAATCTCTAGTAATAATAATATTTATAAGGAAAAAATTATAAATATTTATGAATGGAGAACTATTAGAAAATTTAGAGATATCATTCAAAAGAATCAAACGGTTTTCATTTCAAATAGAATTCGGAACGTCCATGAATCACTTCAATTAACACTAATATAAGTTATATTTATAAAAAAACACCGACTAAATACCCCTTGAAGAATATATTGAACAACTTTGTTCCAATCAAAGAAACATTATTCATGGAAGATAAAAGAAAAATTAATATGTCATGGCTCTCCGCAAGCAAAAAAATATAAAATCGCGCTTTTTCTTTTTCTTATATAGTATTACGACCCTGCGTGTGACTTTATTTAGGGAAATGACTACTAACGAATGATCAATTCTTAAAGACACGATCAAAGATAATGATGTAATAGCGCGTACTATTAGAATTCGAGATCTCTAAATATGAAGATAGTATATTTCATTACTAAAATTTTTATTAAAAGCCACTAAATATAAAATTCACCTTATATCTGTCTCAAATTTATAGAGGAGATATGCATGTCATCGTAAATTACGTCAATAATATATATCAATCCAAAGACACAACTTACTAAAAAAATAAGATAATAGTAAGTAAACCAAGCAAACATTCATATAACACCGTAAAGAAAAAATATTACATTTTAAAGCTAATATGTTGCACTCTTTTAGAGTAAGTTGTCAAAACAAAAGTATTTCCATTAAGGCTCTTTATAAATGCAGCAGAAATTCATACTAATATATACAACCATTATAACATTCGAAAGAGGTATGATCTTGAAAAACCTTCTCTAAAATTCATACAATTAAAGCTAAGAATAATTTACCAATATACAGACACAATATTGTACCTTTAAAGCAACAATAACTACCATTTATAATAGAGTTGAGCAGTGGTTCTATGTTTGCAAAGATTGCAATAAGAAAGTGGATAGAGATGTTAATAATAAGTGTCTAGATGATAAATGTTGTAGAATCGTTGATGATGTATTACCAAGGTTAAGTGATATCCCTTCTTCATGAAATAAATATATCAAAATTAAATATTAATATTATAATATAAAGCAAATTGAAATAAATATATCAAAATTAAATATTAATATTATAATATAAAGCAAATTGACAATGAAAAATATAATGTATTTAGTTCAGATCCTCATGGAATATTAATATTATAATATAAAGCAAATTGACAATGAAAAATATAATGTATTTAGTTCAGATCCTCATGCAAAATAACACAGATAGATTAAAGGTAACATTATTACACAACATAAATTCTTATTGGATGCACAACAGAAAATTCATTGCAGAGAAAAAAAGGTAGCTCCTTACCTTATTTAAGTAATAAAGTAAAAGCACAAAAGATTTTATATGTATGAAATTAATATTTATTATTATTAAAATAGGAAAAAGTCAAAGTCCGTATTATCAGAAGTTTGTGTTGAACATAAGAATTATATTCAACATCTTTGTGAATTTAGACGAGAAGACAAAAGATAAATGAGTCCAATATAACATGCTCCAGTCTCATATCACAATCGATGTAGACGATGAAGACACTACTCCAGAATTGCCCAGGAAAAAGATAAAGATGAAGAAAGATTGATCTCGACTCAATAAAAAATAAAATATAAGCAACAAAAGATAATGTTTTGTGAGTTGTTATAAAATAGTTTTATTTTTTTAGTAAAATTAGGAATCTTTAAAAGGGATTTTCATAAACTATTTTTAGTGCTTTCATATGCATATATAGATGCTTTTGTCATATAAAAAGTGTACTAGAGTTAGCATTAATCTTCAGGTTATAGTTTTTTTATTAACTATTTTCTGCCATTTTAGCCCACTTTAAATTAATCATCTTAGCTCGTTGGTTTTATTATTCATCTTCATTTTATAATGTTATTTTTCAAGTGTTTTCACTTTCATAACACTATACTTCCTCAGGTCAAGCTTGGTTTCATGCTAATCCAAATGAAATAAAAATTGAATTGGTTTTATATTATATTTATCTCATAATAATTAAACTATCAATATAAAAATTTAAACTGGGTGTAGCCTATTCAAACAAACATCAAATAAATAAATAATCAAAGTGTAATCAAGAAACAAAATTTAGTAAGAAAATAAACCAAAAATACTAAATCAAAGTGAGCAAAAATTATCAAAGAGTAACAGAGAAACAAATTTAAGTAAGAAAATACATAATCACAGTATTTAACCACGTGCAATGCACGTGCTAAAATCTAGTGGTTGAAAGCACCCCATTTGTGAAGAGTGGTGGACCAAGCGGTCGGGTCGGGTTCAGAACATCACCCGCCAACCACCACCGGTTCGCTTCAGCTGTTCCTCCATAATAAATAGAACCAAGCTCCTCATCCCCAAATTCCATCCCAAAGAAATAAAAATATCTCCTTTTTATTCTTCTCTTTAAAAAAAAACAACGATGTCTTGCTACCGTGGAAAATACGCTGGTAAATTGAATCAAACCCTAAATCTGTTTATAGTCTGTTTGGTTTTGTATAAAGTTTGTTTCTTTTGATTTTTTTTTTCGATTTTTGATCGATCTCTCTTGGGTAGTTCTAGGGTCTGAGAATGGATCCAAGTTGTAGATTTTTCTACGATGAGATCTATAGGAATAAATCTTAGATCTAGGTCATGATTTTATCTTTTGGGTCAAAATCCATGAAGCTGAATAAGATCTAGAAAAAGATAGGAGATTTTATTTCTTTTGGTTAGATCTTAAATTTTGCTGCTTAGCTTGGAAGATTAAAAGATCAAATTCGTTTGCTAGATCTGATTAACTTTTGTTTATTTAACGACCGCTTAATTGTATTCTTACGATTAAGTATGCAAACTGCTATTTTTCTAGGTTTTGCTGAATCTAACTTTGTCATAAGTTTCAAGCGATGCCTCTTCTGTTGTTTGTTTGCCATATTTCTTAAATATTTGGGTGAAAAGAATCTAACTTTGTATTTATAATTAGCTTGGTATTTAAGGCTCCCTTGACAATTTAGATTAATATGTTAAGTCTCTGTTTTGGATCAAGGTAGTAGCTTCTGTAAGGCAGCAAAGACCCAGATCTGATTGATTATCATTGACCATCCATTTGCCTATGATGACATATCATATTTACTTCTACGTGTGTTGCCTTTATAATACACTGAAATATATTTTATAGATGATACCCATGAATGAGATTTTATTTTTTGATGGGTCTTGCTCTAGCAAGCATGCTCATTCCTTGATTAGTTTGGTAGGTAGCAAATATATGCTATGTTTCAGATATGGTCTATGATTTCCGTTACTACTATACTATCTTCTTAGCATCATAACGTCATGAGGTTGTATATACATTGCTTGGTAGTAAAACGTTAGCGATCTGTTTAGTTATTGGTCCTACTGGGGTTATCAGCTTTTAACTGCCAAGTTTTAAGCGGATATCCCACATGAAGATGAGTTTGGCTTTTTGCCTTCACCATGTTGAGTTATAGATATATGCGCACCAAGATGCTTCCAATTAATCATGGGCTATGTTAAATTTTGTAGAGGTACTGAAACAATAATTTGACAACCATGAATTCCTCCTGAGATATACTATT